ATACTTGTAATATGTTGAGTAGATTGTAAATATTCAGGAAATAAAAAAAAAATCTCATGAAGACTGGTTCAGGCGTTCAAGTAATATTAAGGCTATTACCTCGAGAATCTAAATGGCTTCAGTGCTGGTATTACTAACGTGAAGGATTTATGATGTATGCCTTTGAGGTGACTTAACACGGCGTGACACATACATACAAAGTGTCATTCATGACGATCGGTTGCGGAATTCAAGTAATATTAAGAGTATTACCTCAATTGTAAGAGGCTGTTGTGTTGGTACTACTGATGTTAGGGATTTATTAATTACGCAGTTGCGATCGCGTCAGGTGGCATGATAAACATACCGAGTGTCATGACGATCGGTTCAGGCATTCGAGTAATATTAAGAGCATTCGCTTAAACAATCTGAGATGCTGTGATGTTGGCATTACTTTTGAGAAGGGATTTATGATGTACACCTTTGAGAAGGCTTCAGGAGGCATGTTATATGCGCACCAAGTTTCGTGAAGATTGGTACAGGCGCTGAAACACTATTAAGATTTTGTCTCGGAAATTTGAGAGCTTGCAGTGTAGTTATTACTGATGAGATGGATGTATGATTTACGCCATTGAGTAGGGCTCAGGGTCCATGATGCACATATCAAGTTTTATAATATTTGGTTCAGGCATTCAAAAAGTTTATGGTGGGGACACACACGGAGAGCAAGATGATCTCATAAGCCTGATTTTATTTTTTAAAACTAAGAAAGGTAGGCTAATACTCGTAACTAATAGTGACAGTAGCTTCATTGTACCAGAGTTTTCATTAAGAAATAAAATGGTGGCTGAGCCGATCAAGAATTACACCACCTTGTATGAGACCCGCAATTTCATTGCCATGTTCACAAGGTCTCCCTACACTGAACCACACTAATCCTGTCCGTCCTGTATTTTTAAGATAAATTTTAATCCTCTAGGCCTAGGTCATCAAGGTGACTTCAAGTTCCCATGAAACTTTTATATGCTATTAAAAATCTCTCCCATGCATTCTACCTCCACCAGCCGCCCTCACTTCTTGTTGAGGATGTCGATTTCTGTTCCTCTCGGTCACAGTATCGCGAAGAACCCAGGATATTTCAGTCAGTATAGCGATGGGCTATGGGCTGGACGGTTGGCGTTCTATTCCCTTCAGGGGCAAGACTTCTCTCTTCTTCATAGCGTCCAGACCGGCTCTGGGACCCGCCCACCTCATATTCAGTGTGAACCGGGGGGTTCTTTACTTGCAGGTAAAGCGACCGGAGCGTGAAACTGATCGCTCGTCTCCATCAAGTGCCAAGGTCAGGAACTGTGGAGCTACCCCTCTACTCCATATGTTTTCATGGAACTGTGCTTAATTAATTAAGCACAGCTTTAGCTTTACTTTCTCTTTTACCATTGCCTCAGTGTCGCTGTAGTAATTATCGTCAGAAAGATTCTGTGTCGTTTGGTATTTGATCTCTTACCATTTTGAATCACTAAGGAGCATATCTGCTCTCTATTCTTGTCGGTATTGACCCACCCATTTCTCTTAATGCCATGCAGAGAAACTTGACGGGGAGTGACATGTGGTAACTTGTACATCGGTTGGAGCAGTAGTTATCGAGTGATTCAGAGGCAGGCTCTTAAATTCAAATTGACTGGACCTCCCACATTCAAGTATCACCGTTATAATAATGTTTGAAATCAGTCAGTGACGGGCGATCGCATATGGTCTAAACGTTAGTGTAGATCCCCTACATATTTTAATATTTATAAGTTAGAATTTAACCTAAACTGGACAGTAAATTCTAGACGGGTATGATCTCATAGCCTTCTGACTAATGAAGACATTTAATGCTTGCAGCTGAGCTGTGTATGCAGTGTTCGTTGTTTAAATGTTTTCAAGTTTTATCCAGAATGCTTTTAGTTCCTTGCCTATATAGCTCCGTCAGCAAAGCATCTGTTCCTCCTCCCTCGCGCTTTGGGCGCAGTTTGTGTTTTGTAATTGAGCCCCTGGGGCTCAGTGGTTTCGAGCCTGAGTCACTTGAAGCGTAAGATAAAGGTAAACTCGTCCCTGTGCTCAACTAATTAATACTACGCCATGAAGGCGTATAAAGGAGTAGATGTAAAGATCCATGTATTCTTGACCTTGGTTCTAGTTAGAGGTGAGTGGTCACCTTCACGCTCCGGCCACTTTAATCCCGAGGGAAAAGCCCCCAATAACCATTCGATAGCAGGCTGAGTGGATCCCAGAACCGGTCTGGACGATGTTGAAAGGAGAAAAATCTTGCCTCTAGCGGGACTCGAACTCCAACCCCTTGGCCGTCCAGCCCGTAACCAGTCGCTATACCGACTGAACTTTCCTGCTCCGATGTAACTCGAATGAATAAGTAAGCCGGCTGTTTCTTAGTTTCATGTTGTAATCTGGGTTATAACGCCATGAAGTTTGGTAGGTGACTACAAATGTGTAGGATGGAGGAGATGAAAGGATTTACAAGGAGGCACTCTGAGACTGTTTCAAGATAGTGTCCAGGTATTTATCTGGAGAGACTGAGGAAAACCACGAAAACTTAGGACAACCCGTAACTCCTGCCATTCAAACATGGTACGTCCGAAATAGAGACCTATATATAGGGTTTCGGCTACGTCATTTGCTCGGGTCTCTGTTGTTGAAATGAAGGTCATCACCCTTTGAATTTTGGTGATCCCAAAGCCTTTTCAATTACGAGAATACACACAAAGCGTCAGCAAACACTTGCACCTTGAATGGTGTTCCAACCCACAATCCCACTTTCTAATTAGCCCAAAACAGTGCACTTCTTCCACCACGTGTCTACGAGAATCGGCTGTAATGCAAAATCAGTTTGACTAATTTATAACAATAACATGGTTCCCACGCGAAATTTATATTTATGCTTATCTTACCATTTTTAATAACAGTAACTTCTGAAACCATGAAACGAGGGATGTGAAATTTTGTATGATGATGCATAATGAAATCGTTCTGATACAGTTTGTGCCAAAGAATTGCATGTTGACAGTTACACAGCTGAGGTGCGATGTTTCGAACGTATGCCTAACAACTTACGAACAATGGTGGCACATGTAATTATCATGAACCACGCAGAGCAAGGAAGTACACAATGTAAACAGCACACATAACCACTGGCTCCCGACAACATGAAAGAAGAGGGATCTGTTCTCTTGGAGAACGGTAACATTACTATACTAACATGGCGAGCCAATGCAGCGAACAGGAGAAGAAATCTGACGAAGCCTCTGCGTGGTCTACTGCAGGCACAAACACGAAGCTACTTCCAGCCTGCAACGTTTTGAAAGATAATTTTTAAATCATTTTCGATATCAAATTCTGTATTTAGGATCACGTAATTATTAAATTAGGTTTACCTGTTCTTATGTATACGACTGTCACATGTACGATTTTTATATTGATTTTTATTCTTATTTTATTGTATTTTATTGTTAATTTTAACCAAAGTCTGGTCTAAATTTTGTCTAGATTCTGAATTGAATAGGAACTAAACTTGTACGAACCATTTAAAAAAATGGAAATGTTAGCGTTTCACTTCGGTAATAGTATATGAGAAACTTGCAGCACCTGAAGATGAATCATATGAAGTCGAAACTTGTAGTGCGTGCTATACGAATAAATAAATAATAAAGTCTTGTTGCGTTAACGGTAAAAATTATATGTGTTCATTGTAATTATTAATTTGTATTCTGTTATAATAATGGTCTAGAGATGTAAGCGTTTGAAGGGAAGATGACCCAAGTTCAGCCTAGACGTTCTTGTTAAATCTTATTCGAAGTGTCAGCTTCTGGTCAGTTGAACTGCATCTGACCGTGGACGTCTCCTTCATGAAGAGAGTGAGGGAGTGGTCTTGCCTTGTCGCAAGGTTTACTTGCAATGACGCCCGGGTGATGAGTGGACCTTCACTCTCTTGCTCTTAACAAAACAGAAAGGACCAATTTCTCTAATAGGATAGGGTGGATTGCCTCGTGTCTTGACAGTGTGAGTTAGTGAAACTCGAGATCTGTAATCCGGCCATAACTCTGAGTTAAGAGGCCTGAGTGGGAGTCGCCGTGGGCAGGTGATCCTTCCTGAGGTAATGGTCATTCTAATGTGTTTCAGAGGCCAATTGCCCGCTGTGGCGGAGCTCAGCTACCTAGACAAGGTGAAGTGGCTCGAGATGTACGGCGTGGACCTCCACCCTGTTCTGGTAAGTACCACTACAGTCAGTGGCGTATCAAAGATTTCGTTTCGGGGAAATACTAAACCTATTTTGATAAACCTCTTAACAAACAAAATTATATTACCTTCTTTGCCAACGTCACTCTTTTTCCAACGTCGACATCTCCCCGGAAAAACAATTATATATGGGTCTATTTTGTAGTGCAGATTTAAATTGAGTTTTGAGTTTGTCAAGCGATGAATATTAAAAGGAAAGTCTTTTGGCATGTAAGATTTGAGGTTCTGACGGCGGTAACTGAAGAGTGCCGTCTTCTGGGATGTGATGCCAAGCAGATCTTGTGTGAACTGACGTTTCGGAGGAACATATCGCCTCAATATCTTCAGGGTAGAAAAATCCGCGAGCGAGGATCCAGCAGTTTGCAGCCACCTGCTCACGCTGGGTCCTTGCTTGCACCCTGAAGGTGCAGGCGATACGTTTCTCCGAAACGTCGGTTCGCACAAGGTCTACACGGCGCCACATCCCAGAAGACGGCATTCTTCTGGCATGTTACGCCTTACAGTTTGGTAGATATGTACAAGTATCTGTTGCCTCTATTCAAGATGCACGAAACTACACGGCGTCACTGATAAAATTGACGCTTGTGGTGACATATCTGACTTGTATTCGGGTTGTTTCAGCTTAGAATATCGGCTGGGAGTTACATTATATGCTGATATTTTTCGTGGTTTTCTTCAGTACCTCCAGGTAAATTCCGGAATAGTGTCTTCAATTAAGTGGAGCCGCTTCGTTGTTCACTATCATAACAATTATTCGACGCTCTGTAGTCTGAGTTATCGGCAGCGTCGTTAAACAAATTAGAAATCAGTGTAAAATATTCGGCATCATATCCAAGAAGACCCTAAGCTACTCTTTAGGTTGGCCGCGCCATAGCTCAAGCGGTTAGCCGGTGACTTCCCATCGCGGCGGCCCGGGTTCGATCCCGGGCCTGGTCAAGTGGAATTTGTGGTGAACAAAGTGGCGCTGGGGCAGGTTTTCTCCGAGTACTTCGGTTTCCCCTGCCAATCTTCATTCCACCAAAATTCTCCACCATCATAATCACCCGAGGCAAGCTACAATAGGCCAATTAGTGGCCGCTGTGCCAGTTGACCCAGTTAGACTCCACCCCCCACTAAGCGAATTAAAAAAAATTCTCTTTAGGTTGGGTTCCGTGTTGGTCACGGATAAGCGTTACATTTAAGTGCATGCTATTCCTTGCGGTCGAATCTTGGCCTTATGTATTGTATCCGGCCTTATAAATTGTTACTTACAGAAAAATAAGATTCACGAATTAAGAATAAGTCAGTTGCAAGGACGACGCTAATGAACTCATGATACCTGTGCTCAGTCTGCAGGCACAACAGTGTACGCCACAGACAGCGCGTCCACATATGCAGTGAATATTAAACCTACACAGATAGCCTTTCGGCGCTGTATAGAGATCACTTCGGATCAGACGGTACAGTCTGCTGTGATTTTCTCAACCTCGCGATATCAGCCTGCTTTTTCTCTCTTCAGTGGTATGAGTGTTAGCATTAGTTATAAGACACTATGTCTGGTAGTTGTGCACAGACATTTCGGGTAAAAACATTGCCTTCAAGCTTAGGGTACAGAAGATATATGTTTCGTGTGTTCTTTGCATAGAAATTGGAAAAGCAAGGCATAAGGGAGAGGCCTTGTCTGTTATCCAGTAGACGTGTACCGAAGTTTCGGAGGAACACATTTTCCCCATCTTCAGGGAATAGAACATAGTGTAAATATTTCATATAATCTTTGCATAGAAATAAAAAGGAACTCATAAGAGGAAGGTCTTGTCTGTTATGACACCACGACTTCCGGTAGGTGTTTACCGAAGTTTCGGAAGAACGCACTGCTTCTATCTTCAGGATAGGGAAGATAATGTAACGCTTCATGTGATGTTTTCGCAAAAATCGGAAATGGAACACATCATGGAGAGGTCGTGTCTGTTATGACACCGTGGAGTCTGGTAGTTGTGTACCGACGTTTCGTAGGAACACACTGCCTCTATCTTCAGGTTACAGAAAATAATAAGATAATTCTTCATAAGTTCTTTGCCCATAAATCAGAAAAGAAAGGCATAATGGGAAGGCGCTGTCTTTTGAGACCGGGACAACTGGTAGGTGTTTACCGACGTATCGGAGGAACATACTACCTCCATCTTCAGGCTAGAGAAAATAATGTAATTTTTTGTGTGATTTTTGCACAGAATTTGAAAAATCAACGCATAACGGAGAAATTGTGGCAGTGTTTGTCGAAAGTACTGAACGGAAGTTGATGCAATCTGATATTGCAAGTCTGCGCTAAAATTGCTGGATAATTTTAAGCTTGGTCTCTGTCGGAGAAGTAGCTTTGGATTTGCAATAAGAGCACGTGTAGGCCTGCCGGAGTGTAAGCAGAATAGCACTCATTATAAACTGAAAATATAAACCTTTTTGCTGTTGTCATGCAGACGCCCCGTAAGTCTGGACCCGTAGGCTGTGTTGGAGTTTCAATAAATCCGAAATATGCTCAGTATGTCCTCCCTTCACCAACGCACACTTTCTGTCAGTCCAAGAGAAACGTATGAATTGTTTGCGGTGGATCTCAGAGCATAATGTGAGAATTCGCTCTTGATTGTGATAGATGTTGCGTACTTTCGCAGCATACAACGACATCTGTCCTGTAGAATTACTGTCGCGAGTTATTCTTTGCTCATTGCCATCACCCACATGTGTGGCAAAGATGTGTGTATTACCTATGGTTGCACACTTCTGTTCCATTACTCTGTGGCCTGTAGTCCGCAAGCGAACTATACCGACCGAGTGACCGCCGCTTGTCGGCGAAGTTAGTGCCAACTTTTGCGGATAGAGGGTGTCGCGTAGTCAGAGCAACGGATCCCCACGGCCATTAATCTCGGTTTTCCATACCGGAGCCACTATTTCCTTGAACTAACTCCTCAGTTATCCTCACGAGGGTGCTTGGACCCCGTTCCAGACCCACTACTTCTCAGAAAATCTGGCGGCGCGGGAATCGAAACCAGAACGTCTACATCTGTAGCCAGGAACTCTGACCACTAGACCACAGAGACGGCCCATTCCGTTCCATAGTCTAAATTAATTTTTTCCAGCTTTCGTAGTATTTGACGGAAATTATCGCAGTGAACAGAACGCCAGTTTCTGTGGGCGCCGGGTGTCACAGAATCCTCGACCTAATTTACTGTGACAATTAAACTGCATGACAATCGTAGTTTCTGGTTATACCGTTTCGAAGATTATTCAGTATGTAATTACAAATTTCCTTGCTGGCATAATGATCAACGCCTGACCTCTTTCCGATAATCTTACAGGTAAATTTGACCTTACTTTCAAAGGAGATTTTAGTTCTCTTTGCTTAAGAGCGGCGTTTTTAGGCCATGTGGTCACTTACAATAAATCTAAGACTTCTGCACTAGATGACCTTCTTGGTAAAATCTATATACCCATACAAGGGCACAAATTCTGAGACCTTTAACTACAGCACCTTTGTTGGTCTTCTTTTCTATAACGCTGAACATTGCAATCAATTTATATGCGAGTAATGTAGCATAACTAATTGAAATTCTCTGTGGAAATATTGTAGCATTAGAATTACCATATTACGATTTCGTGTAATGCCATTGTCCCATCAAGGACATTACCTTTCTTACTCATCACGGCTTCGTATCCCCACTGGCAAGAACGGCCCATGAGATCTTTTCTTAGCTCTGGATTATCTGTAAGTTAAAGAAGACAAGACCGTGTGGGCATGGCGGGAGAGAAAGCGAATGGCCTTGACTGGTCAGTTTTATGAATTGATTCGTTATCTTCAAAGATCACTTTGACGTCATCGGTGATGACGTCTTTGCCAAATTCTAACGTCTGCTTACTTAGAGACAAAAGAAATAAATTGTGAATTACCTTGTGTTTTAGGCCTGGCCCTCTGGTTTGCGCGTGAGAAATATGGCAAGAAATGTCGAATCGGCTTTTGCAATTGCGTTGTGGGCAGGAGGGAAGGAGGGAGGGTGACGCACTATTATGACCAATACACCCCCTACAGTCCTTATCTCAGCTAGCGAATTCGACCAGATCCATTGCTGATTCTGTCGAAAATAGCAAAGTCAAGAAATGTGGACAGTCTGAGCTTAGTGATGATTGTTACAGAGTAATGGTTTAAAATAAGCCACGACCGTCTCCTCTCCAGTCCTTTTCAGTCTGTCCCTAATTTAATTTATCGCTAAATATTCTCCGCAAACATTAGTACTAATATTATATCTAAGCATCCTGTTGCGCCAATATATATATGTGTTTCCGTCACTAATGCAACAGAATGTTATAGTCACTATTTAGATGTTTCGGCCATACACACCCGCCATCAGGTGTCTATCGCTATGCTAAACTGTTCTACTGTACCGTATGGCACAGTTGCATGTGGCTAGTTACCGGCACTCCTTAATTAAAATTAATTTAAAATTATATTTTAACAAGTTCAGCCCTATTAAATTTAATAAAAACAGTCAATTCCAAATTTCTTATGGGACCTATTAATGCAATCTTTAGGAGCCTGGGTCCGTTCGTGTTTCGTGTAGTTCATGGGTGTTGGTATGAATGTTGAGTTCTCTTATCTGCAATATTTAAAAGATATTATTGTTGCAGAAGCAACAGTAGCAATTCTGAATACTCAAACCATATATTGAACTCAGGACATACATATAGAGCCATGACCGACACCATGGATGTTATGGAAACAGAAAAGAAGGGCAGCGCCTAAAGGCCCTAGAAAAATTTCACATCTATAGAATTACAAAAGGTAACCTATATATGCGCTGGTCACGGTAGCCGAGCGGTCTAAGGCATGTACTGTCTTCGCTCGCTCGGAAACCGGGATCGTGGGTTCAAATCCCACTCACGGTATGGATGTTTAGTTTGTGTGTGTGTGCGTTTTTCTGTGTTTGTGTACAGGTAGAGGCCTTGCGA